AATGTCGATTTGAGAGCGTCGTGGTCCCTCGTGTTTTTACCTACCCAGTAATGTTGAATTGGAATGCACTCAGAAGTTGTAGTGTGATGAGTTAAATTTGTAAAATTTCATATTTTTTCTTTTGAATTTTGTTTTTCTTTTGAACTAGTTTAGCAATTTATTTGTAGCTATTGGATTGTTAGATGTATCATAATGTTTATATGTTTCGCACGTGTATATTGCTGTTTATGTTGCAATTAAAATGTAGAAACAGTATTGTATATTGTAATGAAAATGTGTATCGTTGTTTTGAACCATTTTATTTCATTAAAAATAAATATTGCATGCGAAACCAATACTTATCGCTGGAACTTGCGGGATGAGTTTCTTCTTCAACTGCTTGATTAATTATTCTTCTTCTTTGGTCCATTATGAGGAGTACGTTTATAAGTTTATGTTGTATGATAGGAACCGTATGGTAAGCAAACCGGACACAAGCCGTGCATCAAAGTCCCAAGATGAGGTGCTCTATACTGTTTACATGGGACAGCTCTGCAGTTGCGATGCAATGGTATGGCCCTTGTTAATATTCAGCATAATTTGCCTTCGCTACAGAACATCGTTCTAGGATAATTCTCATTGCGAGCGATGCGGTGTTTGTTATTTTGAGGTTTCCTGTGACTATCCAGTCTCACTGCATGCGGGTGTGGCTTGTGTTCACTCTCATGCCGTCGCTATCTATTTTCCTGGAGGTAACCAAGTTATAAGTCGAAGGAGTTGTTCGTCAAAGGAAAAATGCTTACTGCAGCTCGTCACCACTTACCAGTAATACAACATCCATACTCTGCACCCGTACGAGAAGTCATTTCTCAGACACCTTTGTGTGATGATACACATGATGTTGTCACTGTGACGGTGCTAAACTCACGAGAAATACCAGAAGACGTTCTTCGGCAGGATTATGCCAATGTAGAGTACCAAAAATTGGAAGGGGTGAGCTTTCTGAATATCCCCCATAAATATCAGGTAATGAAACACTCGGTTCAGGTAGAGTCGTACCTTGATGAATTCGCACGTCAGTGTCTCCGAAGGGGACTAGCAGACGCTCTTCGGGAGCTCAGGATCGGCATTGAAGAGGACATAGATCGAGCTGCATCAAGCAGTAGAATTCGTTGTCAGGGTCCTGTTCGAAGGACAGTCCTTCAAAGTTCGGGAGTTGCACCCCAACCTAAGCCAATCGTGACGTATAAAAGCGTGAGTAGATGGCTCTTCAGGGGTTGTCCTGAATATTTCATTGTGTGTATACATCCCTTACAGCGGAAGCAGGTCAACACGAACAAGAAGAAAGGCAAAGTTAGTCGTGATGATGAGCCCTTGAATGTTAATGAGGCATGGGACATTCCCCGTGATTCCCCAATCATTTGCTTCGTCTGCGGAAGAAGGCAACCTCTCGATGTTCTTGAAGATCCGATAAGAGGGCTCGGCTGCACTAATTAGGAGTGCAGAGCATGGGCGCACTACCAATGTACGGAAGGTATACATCGCATATGCACCATCTGTAACACAGGAGTGTGGCTGTTTGATTGTGGGGATGCAATGGAGAAGTAAGTTTTAGGCCTTTTCAAAACTGATTTGCTTTCATCTTGCAGTAAGTCTGGCTTCCAATTGAAGTTAATAACTGCTGCTTATTTTAGGAGGATGTGTCGAGCGTTCATCCGATGATGCTGGTTCATCAGCTTGCCAGCGCCGAACTCGCCGAACTCACTGAGTATAACAGAGTTAATCCTGCCGTCGGAAGAGCCGCACAAAGTAAACGCATGGCTTGCTGTAATGCCTGCTATAGATCTCTGTACTGCTTGCGGCACAACGTTATGCCTGGTGAGTGGACCTAGAACATCGAATGCAGTCAGTTGAGCACGTCACCATCAAGGTGAGAAGCCACGCTCTAAGTTATGTGTCAGGACAGCCAGAACACGCACAGCTTATTGTGGACGTTCTACAACAGAACACAGGACTTATGGATACACGGACAGCTTGGGCTGCTGTGGGAATACTCAAAAACGCTGAAGAATGGATGTCCGAGGAAAGTACC